TAGAAGTGATGAAGCGCCTCGATCCACCAGGAGACCGACTGCTCCAAGTCGGCCGCGCAGAGGTCGAAGGGGGCGACGTGGTGCAGGTTGCTCTTCAAGGCCTCGAGACCAACGGAAACGTCGTCCTTCACGATGGAGGCGGGGCCGCAGCAGCAGCTCTGCAGCAGGTTGACGACGTAGTTGGCGCGCAAGCCGAATGAGCGCTGGATCTCGCCTGCGCTCTCAAAGATGCCCAGGGAGATCGAGGCCGCGTCCACGCTGCTGTCAGCGTTCAGCATCTCCAGGAGCTTCCGACCAAACGTGGCCCACTTCGCATGGAATACGTTGAACATCTCCCTGCAGACGATGGTCACAACCGTCCGCAGCTGCGCCGGCCTCCCAAGCGTCTTGAGCTCTGACGAGATATGATGGGATGCTAGCAGAAATGCTGGGTGCATGGTGACGGGAGTCGTGAACGGATTCGCATTGTGCAACCCTGTCACGTGGAAGACGAAGTCGCGGTCGTTGAAGAATGGGGCCGTCGCTGGGTCGGTGCGCGTGCCAGAGCCTGATACTTCGCCAGGCTGAGCCTCGTCCAATCGGCGCATGACTTCATTGAACACATCCTCGGAGGACTCCTCGAACAAGGCTGGCCGCAACGAGGGCAGGCGACGACGAGGGCTGCCGATGGCTCGCCCGACCCCGACGACCCACCAACCCTTGGCACTGGAGTCTGCCCTGGGTCGGAGTGCGTCGGAGTCGGCCAAGCCGACGCGGCCGCCAGCCAATCGCGCTGCCCCCCTTGCCCCCCGCCCTGGGCCCCGAGGTCCTCGCCAAAGTCACCGACCCCCATTATCTTCCTCAAGATGTGGGCGTGGCCCTTGATCGATTCCCCCCTGATCTCGCGGCGGAGCTTCGACCAGGAGTTGAAGGTCTTGCAATTGATCGTGACCTGGCATGAAAAATGGGGCGGGCGTGTGGATGGAGGAGGAAGGGGGGTGGGATAAGTTTCGGAGGAAGGTAGACGACGACTGATCGGGCCGCAGCTTGGCCCCAGCCTGGCCCCTGGCCCCGGGGCCCCGGCGACGCGGCCGGGCCGCGCCGCGCGCGTCTCAAAGCGATGCCAGGGTTCAGGACCCGATCTCTCTTTGTTTCTGGGGGGGAGGGAGGGGGGCCTCCTCTCCTCCTCCTCCTTCTCCTCCTCCTCCTCCTCCTCCTCCATGTTCTCCTCTCCTCAGCTCCTCCTCCCCCCCCTCCTCCAAGCCTCCTGCTGGTCTTCCTGCGGCCCTCCTGCTCCTCCTCCTCTTCCTCCTCCGCGTCCTCATCATCCTCTTCCTGCTGTGAGTCTGAGCGTCTCTGAAAACTGACCTCCCCATTCAAGCAGAAGTGGATGCCGACGCGGTGGCAGAAGTTCAAGACGTTCCCGTTGATGTCCGCGGCGGCAACCTGGGCGAGCGGGGCCATGGTGGCGCTCAAGAGGTCGTCCAGGAAATACTTCTCCCTCGACTGATCCGCGACCCTCGCGCTGAGAACCTCCTCGGGCACGGGCGCCGCAGTCTGCTTCGGGTTAGCTTTCTTCCTTCCTTTCGGGGCCGCCTCCACCTTCCTCTTCTTCTTATTGCCGTCGGTCTTATAGACAACGCTGCCGCCCATCGGAGTCGCCAGCCAATCAATCTTGGCCTTCGACTCGCGGGAATCCAATAGCCACGGGCACCCGCGGCTGAGGCTGTTGTTCTCGGACTGCTGCTCTGTGGTGGGCACTGTGAACTCGAGGATCTCCGCGAGCATCGCGGCCTTCTGCTCCGCCCCCATGGTCTGGGAGAAGTGATCGTCCATCATCTTGATTGCCGTGGCGCAGAGTTCGATGACGACTTCGCTGTGCAGCTTGGCGTTCAGGAACTCGACTTTGGTCTCGCAGTAGTTCTTGAACGACCCCATGATGCCGAGATCGGCCAAGCGCGTCGCAACCACGGAGCACTGCTTGTACATAATGAACGACTTGAAGATCAATGGATACTTCTCGAGCGCGTGGGCAGCCCAAAGCTTGTCATAAGAGAACGGGCCAGACCGAGGCGTCGTACTCGTGGAAATGCCATGTGCTTCGCGGTGGGCTTCCCAAGAAGTTGTTGCGTCGTTCGTGGCCTCTGGGGCTGGGGTTAACCTGCCAAAGGCTCGCTGCCTCGGCGAGGGCTACCGCCAACTTGGCTCCGTGGCTCCGTGCGAGCGCTTGGCGGCGCCAAGCGCCAAGCGCTCGCACGGAGCATTGATTGGCCAGGTTGGCCAAGCCCCCGCCGAAGCTCGCGGGCCCCCGGGCGGCCAACCCAGCCCGGGCCTCAAGGCACTCCAGGAAGTTAGTCCTGGCCCCCGCGTGGAAGTTGTTGTGCTTGTCCTTGACCCATTTCACGCAGTCGATCGGGATCAGCGGCTCCAGCACAATCACGTTGTCGATGCCAGAATTGAAGATGTCATTCACTAGCTCGTTCGACCGCGCGGAGTCCATCTCGCGCGCCACGTAGATCGCCTCTGTCATCGTCGTTGTCGCCGTCATCGTCGCCGTCGACCCAGACCCAGCGGGCGCAAGCCCCCGGGCCCCCGACCCTCCAGGGGGTTGGCGCTGGCATGGGCCCAGGGGCCTCAGGGGCCCCCGACCCCGGGCCCCCGACCGAGATCTTGAGAGCTCAACGGTTGAGCTCAACGGTTGAGCTCAACTGTCCGAAATCCAAGGGGTTGAGGAGGGTTGAGCCTCAACCCTCCTCAACCCCCCTGATTTCGGACCTCTGAGGGCAGTCGCTCGACGAGGGCGCAGACGCAGAGGAGGGGGCATCGGGGGGCGAGAGCGGGGGAGGGCGAGGCGAAGGACGTGGGAGCGTGGGAGACGAGGAAAGGACAGGGGGTCAGACGACGGTGACGACGGGGGAGAGGAGGAGGAAGAGGCGGAGGACAGGGCGGGTAGAAAGAGGAGGAGGAGGAGGAGGAGGAAGAGGGGGAGGAGGAGGAGGAGGAGGAGGAGGAGGAGAAGGAGGAGGAGGAGGAAGAGGAGAGGCTGAGGGAGGAGGATCGATTCCTCTGTCAAGGTAGCCCCCGCGATCAGGTAGTACGTGACCTCCTCATCGGTGGGAGGGGGGCACGTCGGGCAGGAGGAAATAGCGATGATGTTGCCACGCATGTTCGTCAGCAGCCCATCTGTCAAGATCTGCTTCGCGTAGGGCGCGACGACGGTGTCCTGCCTGCGGTTGTTCATCTCGGAGCGCACCAGCATCTTCCTGCCGCTCTTGTCCAAGAGCTTGAGGTTCACAGGCTTGCCGCCTCGGCGGGGGGGGGGGGGGCAGGGAGGAGGGGGCTCTCCTTCTCTTTTCTCCTCCAACTCCTTCTCCTTCACCTCCCCCGGGCCGGCCCCCCTCCTCCTGGGGGCGAGGCTAGGGCAGGGCCCTGGGCCAGGGGGCTCCAAGGGAATGGCAGAGTTTGTAAGCAAGCCGCCCGCCATTCAAAGCGAAGAGCTTGATGATGGCCTTAAACCGAAGGGCCCCGCGGGTGTTTGGGAACCGATCCTCGACAGTGCCGTAAGCCTGGTATTTCTGGCCTGCCATCTCAGCGCTGACCTCCGTGGAGCTCTTCGTGACTCCAGCGGCCGCGGCGCCAGAGGCAGAGGCAGAGCCTGAGGCAGCGCCAGCGCTCTCCTGCGAGTCCTTCCCTGCGAGGTGTTCATCAAAAAATCAAAAGACTTGTCCCGACCAGGACCTGATAGAGGCCGCCGTGAAAATCTTGGAAAGGCCCGTGGAAGACGCAAGTGGCCAAGGTGCTTTCGGGGGGGCCCTGAGAGGAAGGCCGCCAGCCCAAGCCCGCGCAATTGAGCCCAGGTGAATCCCCAGAGGGCCTTCTGGGCCCAAGGCGTAACATTACTTGTGATTTTGCTGGCCCTGGCCCTCTTGGATCTTTGATGCCTTCGCAAACCCTTCCTGGGGGCCCTGGGGGCCCTGTTGTTGTTGTTGTTGGTGCCTGATTGGAGACCTCTCTCGGGGCCTCGGTTCGGTTATCTTGGAAGCTGCTTCCAATAGCTTTACTTCCCCCGGCTGTCCTTGCGATCCCCCAGCGGCCCCGGAACTGGCCGCGGCCCCCTTCTGCGGCTGCGACAGCTGCTGCTGCGAGCCGCAGCTGGAGGCTGGCGGCGCCGCGGCAGCCGACGCGGCGACCCACGCCGGCGGCGCCCCGTCACCAGTGCTGGCCGCGCAAGCCACGAGCGAGGCTGGCGAGGCTTTGACGACTGGAGCTGGAGCGGTCGCTAGCGGCTCGGGCGGCGGCGGCGGCGCCGGCTTCGGCTTCGCCTCCCCCTTCGCGGCCTTGGATTTCGCCTTCCCTGGCGGCGCCGCCGCGGGTCCAGCCTTAGGCGATGCCTTCCCCCCCGGGATCCCCTTGGGCGGCTTCGGGGACGACGGGTGACCCTTCAACGCCTTCACCATTGCGTATGGCAGGGCGCGTGAGCGCGGGCTGGTCTGAAGTAAGATTCCTGGTCGAAGTAGCGGGCCCCTGAAGGCTAACTAAAGCTCGGGCTGCTCGGGTTTGAGCAAGATGCTGGGGGGGGGCGAGAGGGGTGGCTCTGGCTCTGACTTCTGACTTGTCATCAGTTTCTTTGCTTCCAATGCGGGGCCCCTCTGCAATCCCAGCTCAACGCTCGAGAGGCCCTCTCGAGAGGCCCGCGCCCGAGGAGGGCGAGGGCGGATCAGGGAGGAAGGAGAGACCGGCGGCGGAGGAGGAAGGGGGGTGGAGCAGGAGGGGTTGGATGGGGCAGAAGAGGAGGGAGCTGGAGGTGGGCTTTAGGACCTTAGAACCCCCCGTAGACGCAGCATTTAGATATCAGCCCGTCGACTGCAAGTAGTATCGCACGTCGCACGTGGTCCCAAAGTTCCACGCGCGAAATCTGGACATTGCTCTTTGGCTAAGGATCGTTGCATATTCCAAATTCCGAATGTAAAAAACAATTCAATAAACCTCAGCGCAAGCTGCTTAAGCTAAGCGATCAACACCAAAACCTGACAACAACCGCACAGCTCGCACTGGGCCCCACTGGCCACTGGGCATTTTCAGGCGAGAGGAAACGGGTGGCTTGATTATCGGTGACGTCGGGCGATGACAAGGATCGTCGAATTCAGAGACCCCCGAAGCCCCAAATTCCCAAACAACCCCCGCGCGCACCCCCGCACCCCGCATTTCAAACAAATACCCCGCCAGGGACAATGGATTTCTGCTGGCTGGCTCCCGTTCTGCCAGGCCGCTCCCCCCTCCTCTTATCCTCCTCCTCCTCCTGCTCCTTTTCTCCCTCTCCTCCCCCCCATGGATGGATGGTTTCGTGCATGTCTGGCCGATTGTCCCCGAATCAGCACTGAAACACAGATGCAACGCACTTGCCCCCGATGATGGCAGCATCGTGTTTCCTAACCTTGCTGCCACCGCCGTCGCCGTCGCCGCCGCAGCTGTCGCCCCCCTGAGGGGGATCTCGGCGGCGCCGACGATCGCTGGCCGCAGTGATTCTCGAGAATGTGCCCAAGCAGACGCCTAGGCCGGCAACGCCAGGGCCGCCAGGGCTGGGATCGGGCGAGGGCGCAGAGGCGATCGGCCACAGCGCAGCCCAGAAGAGCGCGGCTCCGATGCAACACACACTCATTCCATTGCCAGCCTGGTGCAGCATGCTATTGCGAGATCGCTTTGGCAAGCCTGCCAGCTCGCGGGGGAAATCAAAACAACAAGTGGCTCCGAAAACGCATGCCTGAACGTCCGGGTGGAGGGGGTAGCCGTGAACAGTTAGCAGCTCGCGCGGAGTCAGCCATCTACCATGCCTCATGGACCACATCAGGAGGTTGTTGCGGATGATACACTGCAAAGCGGAGTTGCCCCCGCTGTGGTGCCCCCGATTCTCGAGCACGCGCTGACCAAGATCGACCACTCCAGACGGGCAGACATGTTTGGCCGCATGCATGTTCTCGCATTCAAAAAAAATCAGCGCTGCCTCGTGCTCGCTCAGCGGCTCTGGCAGAGGCCCCTGCCCGGGACGGGGAGCTAAGTCGCGGCTCTTGGCCCAGAGCAACTCTGATTTGATCTCGGCCTCGTCAGCATTGAAATAGATTGACCAATCGACAACGTAGGTTCTCCTGAACAAAACCTCGATCTCAGCCCAACTTGGACCGCGAGGCACTCGGCTGGGGCCCCTGCTGGGCTGGGGCGGCAAGCAACGGTTCATAACCCACCCACCCACCCACCAACTTGTTTGGCTCAGAACCCATCAACTTTCGATCCCATCCTGAGAACCAAGGGATGGTTTTCACTCCCCCCAAACTACTCGCCAACTTTGATGATGTGGCCGCATGTATCCCGAAAAAACTTGGACACACTCTTGTTTGGGCATCCATCGAAGGGGCGATTTTTGCACGTGCCTGGGCCGTCCGGATTTTCAGAAGGCCAAGCATCTCCCCAAGAAGACCCCGGCAAAATGGTTGATTTTTGTTCAGCCACTTCGCCGGAAAAACCAATTCAGCTGCAGTGACATCCGGAGACCTCTGAGGACCCGGACCCAGCTGCACCGTGCACCCCCTAGCTGCTGCCTGCTGCCCCAGCCCCCGCGTCGCCTGATCAACCTTTTGTGGAGCAGCCGCGTCAAACGCCTGGTCCGCTCGTAAGGCTGACCGTGGCTGGACGGCGTGATGACGACCGAGAAGTCCGGGTGGACGGCGTAGAGATCCCCTAGCAAGTCTGCGAGGACTGTCAGGGGAAAGGCCTCCACGTTCTCGTGCAAGATCATACCTTCCTGCAGCAATCTGCGTTGCCCGACCCAAGTCCAGAATGCAAGCTTCGACTTGCCATCGTCGCCAGAATGTAGTCCCATCGAGCTCCAATCAACGCAAGGGGTCCCGGCAACGTGAATGTCGGCCTGCATCAAGGCGCAACATTGCCCTGGATGCGTCAAGCATGGCATTGACTCCTTCACGGCAGTTCGGCACACGAATATTTTACGCAGAGCATCTGTTGACATCCTCGCGCTGTTGCGCGCGAGCAAAGTCCTCACGCTATCGTGTATGCCACCAGTGATATCTCCAAATATGTGGCGCGGCGCATGACCGCCAAGAGAAAGGTCGTAACAACATTGAGCATCGTATTCTATGGCGAAAAAGCACTGGTGCGCGAGCACCTCGCCTGAAAAATAAGCCACCGCATTCGATATCACTGCGAGGGCAAATTCAGGAGCCCCGATGCCGCTGAAAGACGTGCTGATCGAAATGCTTCTCAATCTCCTGGATAATCGTGACAGCTCAACATCTATATTCATGCCAGTATTCCCGCTAAGATATTCAAGAGACTTGAATAGCTGATGTTCGCACCATTTGTTGGCGTCGCGCAAACTATGCACGACAGGGCATGGTTGAGGAAGGCGAGCCATGATTGCTTGAGCTAAGATTGAATACGGATGACGCGCCCCCGCGAGGCGATCGGGAACCTCCTCGGCTACGGCTCCAGCAACATCCAGGGCGAGGA